TATTATTATTATTATTATTATTATTAAAATGCTGCTATAAATTCAGTACTTTGGCAACCTCTGTAATGACCCAGTGTACTAATGTTACAAAGAACATTCTATCAATTTTACACTTACCTTTATAGTCCATGAAATGTATTACTTGTAGTCCTTAAAACCATTCATTTAGTGGCCATTCAACGGTACGACATTGAAAAAAGTGACTTATGGCCATATTTCATCCTTATGACCATTGCACATTGCAGCATCCCCATGGTCATGTGATCAAAATTCAGACAATTGGCAACTGGCATATATTTATGATGATTGCAGTGTCCCAGGATCATGTCATCACCTTTTGTGACCTTTTGACAAGCAAAGTCAATGTTAAGATTCACTTAACAACTGTGTTACTCACTTAACAACTGCAGTGGTTCACTTAACAATAACAGTGGCAAAAAAGCCCATAAAGTGGGGCTAAACTTACTTAACTGCTTTACTTAACAACAGAAAGGCCACAATATTGGAACATTTCTCTTCATGTCATCCGGCCATGGTCTGTTCTGTGAACTCTAGACTATATATGCAGTCTTATGTCCCCCTCTCCTTCAAGTTGCCAGAATTGTTTATTTAGGGTCTCAGGCCCATCAAACACAAGTGCAAAGTTTGAAATACAGAAAAAAATCCAAACCTGAAACCGATAGCCATTGCTGGAAACATGGCCCCACTTTACAATAGTTGTCCAGGTTAAATGTTGCCGAAGTAAGGTTGTAATTTGTTGATGAGAAAGACAACTAAAATTTCTGATAATTTGATTTATGAGTCGGGTGATACAATGGGCAGTGTAATAATATATAAATTATATATATAGTAACATATTCCTATTTACTTGTGAGTAAATAGGAATGGAATGGAAGATCCATTCCAAAGAATTTAATTCTGAGTAAATATATATATTATGAGTTTGTGTTGTAAATGTGATAAATGAGAAGATTCGTGAATTCCCTTTAAAAAAAGGTATGATCGTGGCTTTAGAACTCTGATTTTTGGAATCTCCTATCCAGCTAGTGTGATGAGAAGGTTAAGCCAATTCAATCAAATATTTACATAGGTGTTCACTTTTAAAGATGATAATACCAAAACGGTAAAATGCATTGTTACATGTACATAATGTACACGTAAGTACATTATAACAAGTGTTCTATCACTTGTCCTACATTACTCCTTCCATGGATCTTTGTGGTTCCATACTCGGTTTCCCAGAAGCAATTTTTTTTCATTCTATCTTTGATTTCTCAGCTGTTCCTGCAAAGAAGAACATTTGGAACTGGATGACATACTTAGAAGAAGAACGAATGCCAGCTGCTCCCTTAAAACTTTTCAAAGAGGTTTGTAATCTCTTAAATGTTTTCTTGTGGATATTGAATACAGGTAGTCCTCGACTTACAATTATTTGTTCAGTGACTATTTAAAGTTACAATAGCACTAAAAAAAGTGACGTATGACTGTTTTCACACTTAAAATCATTGCAGCATCCCCGTGATCACGTGATCAGAATTTGGCCACTTGGCAGCTAGCATGTATTTATGATGGTTGCAGTGTCCCAGGGTCATGTTATCACCTTTGGTGACCTTCTGACAAGCAAAGTCAATGGGGAAGCCAGATTCACTTAACAACCATATTACTAACTTAAGAACTATAATTCTTCACTTAACAACTGTGGCTAGAAAGATTGAGAAATGGAGCAAAACTGTTCCATCCCAGCCTACGTACGTCCTTGTTATTTCACAAAGACCACCCCTCTTTTAACAGTAGACTGGAAAATAAACCCTTTTTATTTGAATTACAGACCTGATAATTGTCCCAGAAAAACAAAAGCAACAGAACACTTTTCCAACGGAGACCTTGTCCAAAAAGCAAAACGGAGCCAAATAATTCACAGGCAAAATAAACAGTCCATGATCTCTTGACACTGAAGTTCTTTGCAAATGGTTGCCTCCAGCAACCAGCCCTGCCTACACATTCCCTTTTTGTTACGCAGCCCCCAAGGCGTGGCTTCTCACTGCTTTCTCCTCTTCCCCTGGAGTCACCCCATTTCCTCCCTCTGTCCTAGTTGTGTGATCTGTCTGTGTTTATGAGCATCTCTGAGGTCTTCCAGCAGTGCTTCCTCCGAATCCGACTCAGCTTCCCAGCATAGCTGGCTCTCAGCTCAATCACGAGTGAAAGGACCAGCCTCTTCATTAGTTTGTAAGTCCTGCAGCTCATCAGAGCCTCCCTCCGATTCTGATGGCTCTCCAGGCCCCTCCTCCTCCTCTTCTAATTCCCCAGACTCAGCTGCCAGGAGCACAGGCTGGCATGGAATCACAACAAAAACATACTCAGCAACTGTCTTGCTTAGCAACAGAAATGTTGGGCTCAATTGTGGTCATAAGTCGAGGCTACCTCCATGTTTGTATTGCCTTAGAACCAGAATCTTTTGTGGGTGGGAAATCAAAGAACCAGATATTGTAATGAGATGGAATATGTTGAGAACATTGAAATCTTACACATCTTCTTAAAAGGGCTCTTTTATTGGAAGCAATAAGACCAAGGTGACTTCTTCAGTGCTGCAGAGAGACAAACCTGGGTCCATCATAATTCTAAGAAACTTACAGAGGCCCAAGTATGCTTGTCTATCATATTATTATTATATGGGAGTTTCACGCTGGTTTTGCGTCTTTCCAAATAGAGTTTGTTGATGTGGAGATGAGTATTCCTTCACCTCCTTCTTCATTCTCTCTTTTTGTCTTGCATAACTGCCTGTAAAAGAGAGATACTAGTTTTCTCATGATATCCAAGCAGGGAAACACATCTCAGCACTCCTTACAAGTCATGGGTGTTTGCACCATAAAGATTTATAATCTTTGCACTGCATTTACTTTGAGTTTGATAGAGAGAAGTTGCAACTAGGGATAAGGTTTCTTGTTGGAAGGAAATGCTGCGCATCAGAAGGAGGGAATAAGATAAACATCTATCAGTTTTTGCCTGGAAAGGGATTCAGTGTGAGCTGGTGTGTGTGTGTGTGTGTGTGTGTGTGTGTGTGTACGTGCGCCCGCTTTATTGTGCATCTGGCTTGTTAAAGGGATGATATGTGAATTAACCATTGTAAGCAGTTTAATCTTCACATTTAGTTTTACCCACAACCCCTGTTTTAATTTGTGTCTATGAAATTGCTCAGTATCATATCTAGTATCATATCTAGCAACTGTAGAAAGCTAGTTTTTAACTTTCGTAATTAGCATAGTGCTGACATTAATTGGTCCTTGACTTTTAGCATGTTGTAGATTATCTTATTAAAAAGTAATCATTACAAGTGAGGGTACAAGTAGCAGCCAATTGCCATATCTAACAATATGCACAAAACCAAATCATAGAAAATGTGAACATAGCATCCTTCCTGTCCGTGCTAAATTATTTCAGTTTCTTCAAATAAAATGGAGATAATAGAAAATACAGCACTGGGAAGATGCTTGATCTGAACCATATTTCACTCCCAGTTTTGTATGTAAAGCTCAGCTTCTTAGAGGAATTTTCAAAAATATATATTTAACTTTCCAATTGTTTTATATTGCTATTTTATGACATTATAAGCTGTCCAGAGTCACTTGATAGTTAGATGGGCAGTATATAAATTGAATGAATGAACGAATGAATGGGCAAGATTTTAAAAAGTCTTCTAGCTGTCAGCAGAGTTTTATTTACTGTGTCTGAGTCTAAATTTCAGAATAATATTGTCTCTTGGTCTGATGCTTTTCCAGGTCAGATTCGGAAGTTCAGTTCAGACACTATATCATATCATGCTGTGCGCTAACTAAAATTTAGGATATGAAGTTAGGGTATCCAAGTATATAAGAGTCAAATTAAGCATTATAGCAATTTGCCTCCATTTTTCCCTGTTCTATTTAACTTCTTAGGTTTATTTCCATCTCCAGAGCGTAGCAGTCTCTGAGTACAGGTGGTCCTCAACTTACAATCGTTCATTTAGTGGCCATTTGAAGTTACAACAGCACTGAAAAAAGTGACTTAGAACCATTTTTCATACTTACTACCATTGCAGTATCCTCGTGACCACATGATCAAAATTTGGATGGTTGGCAATTGGTTCATATTTATATTGGTTGCAGGATCCCAGGGTCACGTGATCCCCTTTTGCGACCTTCTGAAAAGCAAAGCAAATGGGGAAGCGTGTTACTAACTTAACAACGGCAGTGATTCACTTAAGACCTGTGGCAAGAAAGGTCATAACATGGGACAAAATTCATTTAACAACTGTCTTGCTTTGCAACAGAAATGTTGGCCTCAATTGTGGTTGTAAGTCAAGGACTAGCTGTGTCATAACAGCAAACTATGGTTTATCAGTTAAGAAATGAACACTCCAAGGGTTGTCATTAAGGGTTGTCATTATTATTTTAGACTAGAAGCACAAGTCTGTCAATTCAAACACTGCACTAACTGATAATTAAACTTTAGTAATTCTTAATTTCTATAAACAGCTTACTCCCACATAAAAAACAAGAAAACATTTTAAAAAGTCAATTAAGCTTAATTATAGAAAAGGAATACTATACACTTGATATTCTTTCTTCATTTTCTTATTTTCCCCACAGAGTATTGACATTGCAACAAGGAGTTTGTCAGGTCTATAATAATATTTTATTTCTTTTTACTGTAGTCTCAGTCCTTTCCACAAAACAAAAATGGATTTAAAGTTGGAATGAAGCTTGAAGGACTGGACCCTGAACATCCATCTTTATTTTGTTGTCTTTCTGTTGCTGAGGTACTGGTTTGACTTTTTAAAATAACAAAGAAAATAACTGGAAGAGGGATGAAAAGCATGTCAATGATCAGTTAATTAATTCTGGCTGAAGTTAATGAAATGCCGACTGACTAAGGCATGCTTTTTAAAAAACATTTTAATATACTGTACATATTGGCCATGTTGATATACATTGGTAAATGAGTATTGGTACCTGAAAAGATATTGACAGGTAAGGCCAACAATCTGAACATCTTTAATTGGCTTTTTATACAGTTCTTGTGGGGTTTTTTTTATAGAGGCTTGTGCATTCTAGTGTTACTTTCATTATAGATAGATGCTTGAATTCTACTAAGTAAAGTGTCTGTGAACTGTAGCACCAGCAATACATTAATATAATTAATACAATTAATGCATCCACTATTAAAAGTTAATCATGTTGAAAATGAAATAGGAGCAGAATTTTTTTAACACAGACTTTTTTGTGTTTTGCAAAAGTAACAACCTTGCATTTGTGGTTGGTTGTAGGTGCAGGGGTATCGAATGCGACTGCATTTTGATGGTTATTCAGAGTGTTACGACTTCTGGGTTAATGCTGATTCAACAGATATCCATCCTGTTGGCTGGTGTGAAAAAACAGGCCACAAACTGCTCCCTCCTAAAGGTGTGTGTGTGTGTATGTGTATATGTTTATATAGTTTTATATTAATAAACATTCTTATCAGAGATGGGACTTTGAACTGAATCCAGTTTGCTTAATCTCCCTATTTGAACTACAGAGCCTCTTGTGAATGAAAACTTTCAGGAGAAAATTTTATTTCTAGGTTGATCATCTTGAGGTGCAACTTTCTCCATGTTGTGATGAAAGGAGTGGACACATCTGCTCCTTTTTTCCAATTTCATTTCAACTAATAGTGCTTGAACCAAGTAATAGCTTTAATGAAGAGACTAGCCTAATGTTAAAGCACTGAATTGGTTAAAAAGGAAAGAAGTGAGGTTGATCCTGACACCCACTTTGCATTATAGCCACAGAGATTTCTGAATTTTCAGATGAATGACTTACAACTGCACTAATATGTAAGAAAAAGGAGAAATATTTATAGAAGCCTGGAGACACTAATTGTTCAACAAACAGAGCTATCGTGCAGATTTCAAATACTTCCCATACTGTTTCTAATTCTGAGAAAGCAACCTGTGCTATCCCACAGGCTTTTTATCAAAAAATAATTTTTTCTTTCTTTCTTTGTCTAGGTTACAAAGATGGGGACTTTAACTGGGCTTCATACTTAAAGATCTGCAAATCTCAGGCCGCCCCCAAAAATCTTTTCAAGATCCTAAGCACAGTGAGTAGCAACACCAATTTCTAGCTGTCTCTTTCGAGTCCTTTCTAAAACAGGTATCAAGGTGCCTTCAGCTAATACTTAGAACTGAAACAAAACCGCTGAGAAAGAGGGAAGCAAAATGAAATAGGAACTATTATCTCTCACGTTATATTTAGAATTCAGAGTTTATTGCCTGTATTTGTTTGTGTAGAATTCAGAGTTTATTGATTTGCATTTATCTGAGCAGAGGAGTAAATTAGCCAAGCACAGCTGGCACAGAGTAGCTTGCTTTTTATCTCCTACGTTAACCTGGTTCACAGACCCTCCGGCATTTGTTCAGTGTTTGGGCTGAAAACATTTATTGATTCATGTTCCTGCTGCTCATCTGAATATCTTTTCTAGTTGCACAGCTGGTGTTTTTCAGGTATTTTGATTCTTTTGGTGTCTGCTCTGTTAAGCAGGCACATTTGTTCACTTATATACTGTACCAACTTAGCCAATCCTTTAAATTTCAGTGAATTAAAAAGATTTTTTTAATTTTGCATTCAGAGTTTCACAGCTTTAGGAAGACTCATGGAACCAATAGTTAAATTATGATTTCTTAAACAAAACACAATTCCCACAACCTAGCCAAAATCAGACATGTCCTATTTTGATTTAGAATCTTATGTGAATCAGCAGTAAGATCAGATTTTCTTCAACTCAATGCAGACTTAAATACATCTAATGGCAATGTTTTTTTCCCTGTTTTCTCCTATCCATTAGCCAGTCACACCTTCTGGTTTTCGGGTGGGCATGAAGTTAGAGGCAGTAGACAAAAAAAATCCTTCCCTGATGTGTGTAGCCACCATTGCAGACATGTTGGATAATCGACTGCTGGTTCATTTTGACAACTGGGGTGAAAGCTATGATTACTGGTAAGAACAAGAATTTGTTATATTGGTGAGAGTAATGGGGTATTTGCCCAGGAACTGAAGAATGTAAAATCATTTGGAGATAAGGAAACCTCTGGAGCCAGTTCTATATTCATTTGCACTCAGCTCTACTCATAATTCAATTTGTTGAAGTTCTGATTGTAAGCCCATATTGAAATATGTGCTGCATTCCCTCCAGGTAAATATATATTTGGACCATGTAGTTTGTCTACAAATTGTAACAAATAAAGAATTAAAATCTAAATTTAGTTTGGTAAAATGTAGAAATATAAATTCAAGCCATATAGCTTACCATGTATGAGGTAATACAGGATTATACAACTTACCGATAGAGGAGAATATTTGTAGCTCAGCGTTGAACTGTGGGGTTCTCAGTGCTCTCTGAGTTTGGTGTTTTTCTTGCAGACATTTCATTACCAAACTAGGTTATATCATCAGTGCATTGATGTACTGCAAGAAAAACACCAAGCAGAGAGCATCAAGGACTCTATATACAATGTAAACTGCCGCAAGAATCTGTGTTTGGGAGTATAAGGGGTAAAATGAGTGTTTTAACTTTCTGGAAGTCTAATTTTCAGTTAAAGTTCTCTATATTCCATAAATACAAAAGAAAAAAAATCACCCCAACTCTGGATTATCATTTATGGATCTTGAAGGCTGCAAAAGAGATGCCATTGGCCTGCCCTATTGCATCCTTGATATTAAAGTTCAGCATAGAAACATTAGGCCAAGTTTGCATAGCTATATTTCATCATGTATATCTTTGGTGCAGGTGTGATGCAAGTAGTCCATATATTCGACCTGTTGGTTACTGCCAAGAAACTGGATCTGCCTTAACAACACCAGCCGGTAGGTTAAAAACACATCATTTTCAGTCACTATGAAAATATCTGCAAGGAATATTAATATTATCATGTTATGAGACTTATTTCAGTCACACTGAGGAAGTCCTACTTACTTGTAGTGCATGTTCTACCAATATTTTTAGAAATTATGTGTCCCAATCAAATTCTGAATCCTTGGAATACTAGACAGAATTTGACTATTCTATCCAGGGGTTTCAGCAGAAATTGATTAACAAAAGTATTATACAAGGAGAATGCAGGACTTGAATATTTTCTTCAAAAGAGCAGGACAAAGAGAAAGACTGACTTTTTCCATTAAGTTTTTCAAATTTCCTGGCACAGTTTGGTTAGAACCTTAACTGATTCTTACTTTGTTGCTTGCCATATTGATGCAGATATTCCATCATTCCATCCTATAGTTGTCTGATTTGGTAATGACTGGAATGCTAATCTCACTTAATCTTCTAGTAAGACTAGAATACTAGAAGGATGCTAGGAATAGTTAGTGGTTCAAGAATAAGGGACAAGCAAAGAACATGCTGGCTTGATACCATCAAAGCTGATACAAAGATGAACATTCAACAATTGAAAGAAGCTGTGCTTGACAGGATAGCATGGAAAGCACTTGCCTATAAATTATAGGATGTAAATTATATAAAATCACCAAGAGTCAGATATGACTGAATGGTTAAAATACTAATATAGGGTCTTGTAAATAGGGAATTCCTTCTAAGATACATTAGATGCTGCTATTTCATTGTATAGAATTTTGGTATACCTTTTCCATCTTTGTTTGATCTTCTTTCAGTCAGTTACTATCTGTCCATTGGCAGCTTTGAACTTCAAGCTTGAAACCTCCTCCTGAGTTCAGAAATCTTTTGGAATATTTTCCTTGATTTTCCACGTTTGTTTCCATCTTTTTATATCTTTACAAATGTCATTATATTCTTCTAGTCTCTTCTAACAGTTCTTTGAAATTCTTTAAGTTCCTTCCTAAGATATTTCTCTTTTTTGTCTTTGGTTCTGACTCTGCTTACTTCTGTTTCTTGATCTCTTATTGTTTGATTTCATGCCACATTTGTTCTGGTTTCCACTCAGTGAATTCCTGTGGTTTTCTATAAAAGTAATTCCTGATGTTTTTCTTGAAAATGTTAACTCCAGATCATATTGTGGAAGGTAGCTTCCTTCTTCCACTTTAACTTGACTTAGAATTTGCAAATGAGCAGAGTGTGATCTGTTCCACAGTCAGCTCCTGATTGTATCTTTGTTAATTTTTTTCCACCTTCTCATACCAGTTGTTATGGTTCCGGCTAATGAAACACTTCAAAGAACTTCCAGGCATTGGTTTTCCTAAAAGTAATTTATTGTTACAAAATGTCGGCACAGGCACAACGAGTTGATGCTAAGATCTAAAATTCTCTTCCTCTCAGCAATTAATTTACCAGCATGTTCCCTCTCTAAATTTGCTGTCATATATCATGTTCTCCTATCAGGTGGAAGGGCAGAGGTTATCTTCCGGTCTCTTCCCAGCAGTCCTATCTTTCTCCTCCCCCCCACCATCATCTGAATTAACTCTAAAAATACCAGACAGTTCTACATATTTCGTCAAAGCAAGAATATACATTATTTGCAGCATTGACACCAATATTGTAGTTAATTTTATTCTCCGTGTTGTTTTGGTTGATTGAAAACTATTAGCTTAATTGAAAACTAAATTATTGGCTTGGCAAAAACGGGTAAATTCTCCTGTCTCATTTCTATTTCCCAGGCACTTACTCCAAATACATTTTTCTCCTTACTTTTTCTTAGTTTAGCATTCCAGTCTCCAACCACAAGCAACATATAATAAAAGGATTGTTGTTATAAGAAAAACAGGAGGAGGGAGAAGTATTATATATATTCGCCTCCTTGAGTTACCTGTAAGGTAGTAAACGCAGGATAAAAATCAAATAAATAAATATCTTGCTTGTTCTGTGAATTTCAAATTGAACTTGATTATAAAACCTGTCAACAAACTGTTTTTCGGCTTCAGCGGGTGAAGCATGAACTTGGATAATAATTGCATCAAAGATTCACTACCATGAAGTCTGTACGATATTATAGAAGCACTGAGGACACAGTATCCAAATCCTGTCCTTGAGATACCCTTCCAGAGTAGGAAAGCATGCCCTTGAGTAGTAAATGATCTTTTTAACGGAAAGCGTCCAATTTCAGTCCATTTCAATTTGCTGATGTCTAAGAGTCAATATTTCATTGATTCATTTCATCTTTCACCATATTGAACGTTTCCATGTTGGTGCTGATTTATTGGTTGATTGCGTGGTTGGTTGGTTGGTTGATACAATTTAAAGGCATCCAACTCCCAGCGAATCTTACGTTTCATGTTCCTATTGTTCTGTCTCAGCCTACGTGAGTACTTGCTCAGCTGCTTTACTCACGAGGAAAAACCTCTCTTCATAGAACCAGGCAGGACCCATAAGAAAAACAAACCCCTTTTTATTTTTACACACCTGATTCAATGTCTAAGACTTCGGAGACAAACAACCCAATGAACAAAATACAAAGCCTCAGTGTGAACAGTTGCCTTCGGCAACCAGCATCTCCCACACCTCCCCCTTTTATAGTTCCACCAGGGCATGGTTTCTTAATGACTTTTCTTTTGCCTCTGGAGCCGCCCTACTGCCTTCCTCTGTCTTGCTCGCCTCTCCTCTCTGCGCATCCACGCATCCGGGATTGGCCTCAACTGTTCCCGATCACCACCCAATTCAGGCTCCTGAAACAGCTGTGTCTCTGCCTGAGCATGAGTAGAGGGGCCGGGCTCCTCGTCTGACTGTGAGTCTTGGTACTCATCTCCATTTCAAGGCCATTGAGCCAGCTCTGTCTGAAGACATTTCTGTGATCATGTGGCCAGCATGTCATCACGGAGCATTGTTACTTTCCCATCAAAGTGGTACCTATTTATCAACTCGCACTTGCATGCTTTTGAACTGCTAGGTTGGCAGGAGCTGAGGCAAAAACGGGACCCCCATCCCACCTGCCATGATGAGCTTGAAAGGGAATTCACTTGGAAGTTTTAAATATAATTACTTCCTAAAAGATCTTTAAAAACTATTGCTAGTTGCACTGTTTGGTGTAGAGAGTACCTACTTAAGACAACTTTTAAATCCAGCTGTTAGAGAAAGATAGTGGTGGAAACTCCTTGTCAACTTCTTAGCATTTGCGATGCTACTTCTGTTATTGCTCACTGATGTATTTCAGAAATCAACAGCTTAATGTGCAACACTAAGATGGCCTCTCCATATCAGAATTGGAATTGATTTGTGTTCTTATTTTCTCTCTTACTCTCTTTTTACCTCGCCATCGGCCTCTGTTGCAGATGCAATGGCAAGCGAATGGTTTGCCAGAAAAAGAGAGACATGGCGAAGCATAGGGAGGGAGAAAGTATGTTTGAATACAAGGTTCATTTGTGTAGTTGCAAAGTGGAAGCTTACAGTAATTAAAACAAGTGAACAATTGCATAATGAATGTGGTTTTATGATGTTATTTTACTGCTTAAGTTGTTTTTCTCTATGGCTGCAATTCAGCTACGTAACCCAAGTCATGCGTAATGTATGCATGTGATCTCAGAAGCTCAGAAGTTCTTATCATAGCCATCCAATAATTAATTAATCTTGCAAGGATAGGAATAGACTGAGGACCATCTGAAATCTCTTTACAGCATACAAAGATTTCAAAAGCTTCTCATGGGAGAAATACCTGGAAGAAACTGGTTCTCAGGCAGCACCAGCAAGAGCATTTAAACTGGTTGGTCAAGATTTTTTCTGGTTTTTTTTCTTTATATTGAATGAACCGTATCACTGAATGATGTAATTGCATTTTTGTACTATCTCCTGGATAACAATGGTTGGGGCACATTTATTTTGATTATGATTGTCATCATTGTTATTAATTTCCCTATCACATTAAAAAATATCTAGATAAATTAGGCAGCAATCTTGGCCTTAAATGCCAGATACTAATATAACACACATGCCAGAAAAGAAAGTTGGAAGTGCTGGTTTCTGCAATTGAACAAGCTAATTTGTCGTGACATACAAAAATGAAAATTGAATTCCCATATTCACAAATAACCCAATTGCATGTAACAGCAAATTGCAGTTAAATTAAAGCAGAAAATAGACATTTTCAATCTTTTCTTGAAATGTGTGGTGTAGAGGTAGGGCATCTTAATGCTATGATGCAATGCAGTCCTCAAATATGCCCTTTAAATGATATAGGTATTATCCTTAGTTGCCTCTGATTCCATATATAATTTATTTTATAGCGCCCAGCTCATGGATTTCAGACTAACATGAAACTAGAAGCTGTAGACAAAAGAAACCCCATGCTAATTAGAGTGGCAACCATAACTGAAAAGGATGACCATCGTGTCAAGGTATGTATCCAATTCAAATAGAAGCAGTGAACCTCATAAAAATATCCTAATAATTGGAAAGTCAAAGCCAATCAGCCTTGGTTATTTTGGGGGGGGAGGGGGGAGGGGCTGAGAACTGGAAAAGAAAGTAGAATTTGCTTTGAATTTGTTCTCCAAGGAACTTAAAGTTGGGTTTATTTCTGTTGCTGAGCCAGGGAAGTAATCAAGCAGGGAATTAGTCTGGAATCATTACATAAGCACATAAAGGCAAGGTCCAACCTCCCTTGAATGCCATTGAACCTTATCTAGTCTGGTCCAGGAACAAATTGCCAATCTGGGAAGATTCCTGTGAAATAGGCGAGCAATAAAGTAGGTAATTGAACTCTTCACATGAGGATCTGGTATTTCACGCCTGACAATTTCTATGCCATGAGGTTCAGTGTGCAAAAAACCCACAACTTTATACCGTTCCTTCAGTTACAGTGACAACTCTGACATTCCTATGTTGCAAATGGGAAGGAATCTGGAGGCATGGAACTGTAGTGATCTAAAGGCTAAATCTAGTAATCTAAAGAGCTACTTCTATAGTTTATTATTATTCATTTATTGATTATCAAAGTCAGATAGGGACACCTCAGGTAGACTAGTCTGGAGCCAACTGAGTTATTTGGACCTACAATATAATAGGAATCTTCCTGTGTTACTCAGTGATTGGATTCTTCTCTTTATTCAGCTGCCAGAAAATGGGCTAGGTCCAATTCCACAAGAATCATGAGTGTAAATGTGCGTTACAGGTAGTCCTCAGTTTATGACCACAATTTACTCCAATATTTTTGTTGCTAAGTAAGACATTTGTTAAGTGAGTTTTGCCCCATTTTATGGCCTTTCTTGCCACAGTTGTTAAGTGAACCTGGCTTCCCCATTGATTTGCTTATCAGAAGGTCGTGAAAGGTGTTTACATGACCCCGGGACACTGCAACTGTCATAAATATGAATTTTGTTCACATGACTGAATGGGGATGCTGCAACGGTCTGAATTTTGTTCACATGACTATGGGGATGCTGCAACGGTCATAAGTGTGAAAAACGGTCATAAATTACTTTTTTCAGTGCCGTTGTAACTTCAAACTGTCAATAAAAAATGATTGTACATTGTACTACCTATTTAAGTAAATGTTATTATCCCTTTTTAATCTGATTTATTAAGATACACTTTGATGGTTGGGATCATGCCTTTGATTTTTGGGTTGATGCTGACAGTCCAGATATTCATCCCATTGGTTGGTGTGTCAAAACTGGACATGCCTTGCAACTTCCACCAGGTAAGAGGAGAAATACCCTTTTCTTACCCCTTCTGGATCTTGTAATTTTTTTGTTTTTAAAAAAGACCGAAACAAGGTCAGTTATATAATATTTATATTCCTGAATTTGTTTTTCTAGGGATTGTCAATGCAGCAATGCCAGCAGGACAAGTATGCCCTACTCCTGGTTGTCAGGGATTGGGTCATGTCAGGGGACCCAGATACGGAACTCATTACACGTATGTATTCCTGAAAGGTTTCCAGAGGAGTGTTATCTCCTGTATTTAAAACAGCACAGCTTCAGTCAACTGTAAATACATATGCGGATCTTAGTTCTAAAGTGTTGTGTTGTAGCTCCCTCTTGTGCTTTGTATTTGGCTTCCCTCGACCACCAGGCAAATACTTTTAGCATGATAGAAAAGCAGTATCAAAATCTCTACCTGTTAGAGTGATTCACGTGATTATTTACTAGCTCTAAAAATCTAAAGTTGCAAAGTGGTCTTCTCATAGTTATTTCCCATCTAGCCAAATAATAGAGAATTGTTCCTTGCTTTAGAGAAGAAGTTGTGTGTCACAAATTCTTCTCTGATGATAGTAATATGCATTGGAATACTAGAGGTGGAATATATATTCCAGATCTTGGTTGAGTATGTATTGTCTGTGGTGTGTGTTTGTGTGTACACACAGAGAGAGAAAACACACCAAAGTTTGTGTAGCAATTTTTAAAAAAGGTCCAGCAGAAATCTAGTGTCATGGATGACTATAAATGATAAGAGATCAGCCTTGAGGAACTTGGATCCTTTTATGTTCAGCATGGAAAACTTGCTGATGGCTATGAAGAAGAGAAAACCAGAATTTACTGTTTTATTCTCCTGCTCCTGTCTTCTAAACTTTTTCAAAGTCGCTTGTTAAATCATTCTTTTCTTCACTCTTCATGCATGCTGCCTCTAGCTAGACCATTTGATGCTCTATTCCAGGGGTCCCCAACCTGTGGGCCGCGGCCCACTACCAGGCCATGGCCTCTTGGCCACTGGACCACGTAAAGGGATGGCCAGTGCACGCACATGTGTGTGTGTGCACTTACCCCCCACACTTGGGCTAGTACCGCCTCGAGCATCCCGCTGGCGCTAGCACCACTTCACTCCTGAGCGTCCCACCAGCTCTAGCACTGCCCCATTTGCGCCATTTGCACAGCCCCATTTGCGCACGCGCTCTTGGTGTGTGTATATGTGCGCGCGCATGATGGTGCCTGCCTCCCTTTCTGGGCCGCCAAACCAAAAAGGCTGGTGACCTCTGCTCTATTCCATGCAAGGTTTTGCTTTTATTTAATATTGTTCCCAGTTCAGCCAGATTCTCAGAGTTCCTAAACAGCACTTGTTTTGTTTTCTTCTCACTAGGTCTGAAAACATCCTTCTCTCTGTAGAACTTCTTATTTAGTAAATTCGATTTCCTTCCAAAGCTCCCTTTTCCTACCAATCCTACTATTATTTTGCTCTTTCAGGGTTGATGTGTTATACTAGCTTGTCTATTTAATGTAGCGTTCTGTAAAAAAGAAAAAGAAAAAAATCAGCAACATGTTTTTGCTATGAAAACGTTGTTTTGCTTTTGATGTAGGTTAATTGGCTGCCCTTATTCTGAAACCAGCCGCACCCGAGAGGGCTTGTTACAGGATCGCCTTGGTGGAGAAAAACCATCGCCTGGTAGCAGTGCTCCCAAACCCAAGAAACCTGACATTTCTGTGCAACTTACAGATTTGCAAGAAGATTCTCCACAGTCCAGGTGAAGCTGTAGATTGCATCCTAAGACCTGTTTTAATGTTGGCCTTGTTTATTAAGCTTTTATTTGGTCTGATTACTGCAAAAGATTTTCGCCATTTTGCTGGCTTTTATTCTCTCATGTCTGTAAATTTCATTTGTAAAGTTTGGCAAAACTTTGTATACCTTTGAGCTGGATTTTTTTTTTTTGTGGCACTGTTCTTCTCTGTGCTTCTCTGACATATGATAGGAAGTACAATACAAGTCTAGCTGGGGAAACTGAAGTGGGGCAAAGCAATGGTTCTCAACCTGTGGTCTGCAGATCACTGGGGGGGGGGGCGCGCAATGTTGTCACATAGGGTCCGCAAAGCCTTGAAGAAATGTTATGATTTAAGTCTTGAGTTAAGACTTGGGGGTCCATGACCATGGTCCGTGGCCACATTTAAAAGGGGTCTATGGTGAAGAAAAGGTTAAGAACCATTGTTTATTCCAGTTATTTCCCAAATACAAGATTGCCTCAAAGAACTTGATGAGATGAGACTGACATCTGAGTCAAACCTTATCAATCTTGCCATTTGCATGAAACTCTCCTGGGTCCTGTTCTCTACTGTGTTTTCCCAAAAATATGACCCGGTCTTATATTAATTTTTGCTCCAAAAAACACATTGGGCTTATATTCTGGTTAGGGCTTATATTCAGGGAAATACAGTACTGAATGCACCTGTCTGGCTGAAGATCTTAACTGGGGCTTATTTTTGGGGTGGCGCTTATATTATGAGCGTCCTGAAAAATCATACTAGGGCTTATTTTCCAGGTGCGTTTATTTTCGGGGAAACACAGTAGATAGATAGATGGGTTGGAAGTGACAGATATGGATGTGTGTATATAGAATGCATATTTTTCTTATCAGAAAGTCATCTACGCAAGAAGGAGAGAGGTCAGGGAGAAGCAGCGTTCATAGTTTTTCTGAGCAGTCTGAGACCAGCCAAGAGAAAGACTGGGCTGAAGGGGAAACATCTACTATTACTAAAATCAAAGCAAAAAGGTAAGCAAAATGTTTCAACCAGTCTAACTATCAAGGAGTTAAGTTTGAAGAAAGTTTGGAAATAGATGGGCTGCAGTTAGGAAGAGGACTTTATTTACAAATGCATGGAGTCATTCATTCAATGAGACAAATGCATTCAGTGGGCTCAAACGCTTTCAATGGGTTTATATGCAAACAATCTTGAAATAAATTCAAGTTGCTTCCATCAATCTTGAAGCCTGTGAAAATGACCATACCTTTGTGTACTTGTTTTGATCAGATGCTGGTTAAAATAAGCCTTAATGCAGCTGCAGGCCACAATATTCCTGTTACTCTTTGAAGTGTCATCTTCAAGAAATATTTTAATGCAGAGGTCCCCAACCTTTTGGGCACCAGGGACTGGTTTTGTGGAGAGAGGTTTTTCTGTGGACCGGAGGGTGCGTGGTTTTGTGTGCTGCCTACATCCTGTGAATGGGGCTTTGCTTGTTTATGCGGCCCAATTGCTGGCATGCCGCAGCCCGGTACCAGTCCATGGACCGGGGGTTGGGGACCCCTGTTTTAAAGGTTATATCGGTAGTTCTTGACTTACGACCACAATTGAGTACAAAATTTCCATTGTTAATCAAGACAGTTGTTAAGTGAATTTGCCCCGTTTTACAAACTTTCTTGCCACAGTTTTTAAATGAACCACTGCAGTGGTTATGTTAATAACATGGTTGTTAAATGAATCTGCTTCCCCATTGATTTTGCTGGTCAGAAGGTTGCAAAACTGGGACTTTCTAGGACCCTGCAAGCGTCATAAATACATGCCCATTGCCAAGTGTCCAAATTTGGATCATGTGATCATGAGGATGCTGCAATGGACATACAATGTGAAAACCGGTCATAAGTCACTTTTTTCAGTGTCATAACTTTGAACAGTCACTAAATGAACAGTTGTAAGTGGAGCACTACCTGTACACCCTGGCTAAAAACTCACTTTTTTTTAACAATGTCATGGTTCCGACAGATGAAACTCTTCATAGAACTTCGAGGCATTGTTTACCTTAAGGAATCTTTATTAGAGAAGCATAGCATCAACACTAACATAATCGAAGCCAAAAACTGAATTCCCCTCCCCTGAGCACATAGTATCAAAGCACAATTCCCTCCTCCAATTAACTGTCATAAATCACATTCTCCAATTAGTTTGAAATGCAGGCTTTCCCTCCAGTTCTCCAGCCCGGCCAATTCTTATCATCTCTTATTTCAATAACCTTGGTTCACACACTAGGTCCAGTATTGTTATGTCTAACTAAACTCTCATGCACATTCCTCCCCCAGCATCATCTAACTCTAACTCTTAAGAGTAAAACATAAGAAGAAAATGGTTGCATCTCCAACTATTGTCAAGCAAAAACATCTGATGTTAGCAGCATTGACAAACAAACTGCAATGTACTTTGATTAATATTTTCTTGCATTAACACCCCAATTTGACTTTTCAGAATTGGCTGTTCACACAGCTATATAAAGCTCCAGCTAGTGAAGCAGGAGGCTGACGGCGGAAGAGGTTAGTTAAGCTGTCTTAGTGCCTATTGACTCTACTGTGAATTTCTGTGCTGATCGATTCTAAATATTGAATAAGGGGGTTCCATAATAACTAGAGCCCCATTATTTTGCCTATTAGTTCAAATTTGCATTGCTGCGTCTTCCTTTCTTGATCTGTAAGGGCCACTGTTATCTTGAAAATCCACCGGAGAGGAATTGCTGTGTTTCTGCCAGAATCAGTAAAAACAAATTCAATCCCCAGAGAGTTTTGTCTTTCCTACAAAGATGTTGCTGCTTGAATTGGGAATTTTTTTAACTTGGTTTGGAGTAAGGAAGCAAAAAAGTGGGACCCATAATAAAATGCTGCTGGGTATTCCTAGCTCTTAATGCTGAGTGATTCTTCTAGGGACTTCAGTCAACTTCTAGCATAATCAAATATCCCTCTTCCAAAAAAAATTCCCAATTCTGGACTTGAGTGAACCACATCCCCTTTTTTCTTTTTTTTATCCTTCCCATCACATCACCCATTGTAATCTCTTCACCTGATTTTTAAATCGCCCCAAATGTGCTTCCTATTGAGATAAGTTATCCAGGCCTAAATTGTCAATCAGCGTGCAGTTAGTCCTCAACTTACAACTGTTTGCTTAATGATAGTTCAAAATTATGATCTACCTGGGACATACGACCCAGATACAAAGTTCCCATAACCCCTCCCTTGTAATCACACTTTGGGCGCTTGGCAAATGGCCAAATTGCAGCTTCCCATAGTCACATGATCACATTTTACGATGGTTTTACAGTTCCGGATTTCAGCAAAACTGTGCCATAGCAAAGAATTGATTTGCTTAACAGCCCCTGCATTCGCTTAATAAACCTTGCCATTCACACTTACGACTGCAGCGTTCCCTTAATGACTACCGTACAATCAAGTTGATCACATCTGACTCTGTTTATATCACAACTTAACGACCATAATGGAGATGCTCCATTCCGATTGTAACTTGAGGGCTTCCTGTACCAAGATGTCTCATGTTTTTACCCTGAGGATAGTTCTGACAAAAAAAAACCTCTTTAATATTGGTTCAGCTCATTTTATGAACCAGGCCAGGTTTGAATCTTTCAGAACTCTTGAATTATTTTAAAACTAGGAGTGAAGCTAAGAATAGGGAAGGGGCAAGCAACAATCCTTTTCTGTTGCCGCTAGATGTCAGCAGAGCTGTTTCCAATAAGCATATCTGGAAAAAAAACCTCTCAGTATTCAGTTATATTACCTCCTTTTTGTCTGTCCGTGGAGGAGGAGAAGCAGAAAGCCTAATTAGCCAATATTGTCAATCAAGGAAGTGTTGCTATGCTGTGTTAATCAACACTTCCTCTTCTTTCTATATAGAGTCAGGCCCCCAATTCTTACCGCAGTATGAGACAGCAAAAACCGAAGGATTACACATACGTCACATCAGAGGGAAGGGGCAAGGAGGGGCAGAGGGAGAAAAGATCAAACTGCTTTCCATTTCTTAACATCTCCAGTCATTTCACTCATGGGGAGTGATGCTAACATCTGGAAGAAAAGGCCATGCTCCCTGACCATGGAGTCTGGTCTCCAGGGAATTGGCCAGTGCCTGTCATTATCTGGCATGCCGAGTGCTCTTAGCCAGCTGGGAACAGACCGTAAGCTGGAATGGTGCCATTAATTTCCAGCTGAAGATGCAGTCGCCCAGCCGCCTCCTCTCTGGTAATAGATTGCTGGCAACTCCTCCCGTGTTAGCATCAGGACATCTCTAACAGCTGCCAGAACAGCACAGGGTTCTGATCTTCCTTTTGGGGGGGGGAGGGGGAAGAAGGATATTTTGAAGAAAGTGACTTGATTTCCAAAGTGCATCTGAACCAGGACTAACAGATTTATTTTTCCTTATTTTTCTCTCCCCCCCCATCCCTGCATTCCTACTAGACACTGCCTTTGCTCTGCAGCAGGCCCTCCACCAGTCTGTCTTCATGCCTTCCCTGTCTGCCAATCCGACCCACCGTCTCCATCTCTGCTGGGAGCAGCACTGCAAACTGCTGCCGGAGGTCTCTGGCTTCACTGCTAAGAATGTGGCCAAATGGAGCGTGGAAGAGGTAAGTTCTGCTTTTCTTCTCTCTCTCTCATGGGAAAGCATCCTAAACCACCACCACCCCAGCCAGGGATTTTGTTCCTTGCTCTGCTTTACAGCTGTGGTTAAATTTGGGAGTGAGGGTTAAGCCAGCCAGAACTTTTAACCAGCCAGGGTCTGGAATGTATGGTAGATATTGATCCTGGTGTTGCAGTGAACCCTCCCCTTTAAGCAGCTGCCCCTTTGGGGGCCTCCATTGACAATAGCTTTTGCTGTGCTTCTCTGGGCTGCTGACTCACTTTCCCTTGCCATTGGCCCTGCGCATGCTTGCGTGGCTGCATCACAAACCATCCCTACAGTGTAACAGGGATTGCTGACACACGGGCTTGTTCTGCCAAGAGTGTCATTTTATAGCGAAAGCTTATTTGGGGGCCAGGCCACACATTGTGGTATTTTCCCTTCCAGCTGGCTTTAGCTGTGCATCCTTACCTGTATGCACAGTCCATTTGTTTTTAATTTTGTTGGGGATTAGAAATGGTTGAGTGAGGGATTAAACATGGTCCTGAATGGTTCTGTTGGGGAGCTATGTATAGCCAGGTGGTAGATGGAAATCCAACTTCAGTTGGATATTAAATTATGGGCAGTACCAAACCAAACATTTTGGAGCTCTTTGTTGTTGTGCTGGGGAAAGAAAGGTGAAGTTCGGGCTCACTTTTGGACCACTGAGTTGTACTTTTTAGAGGCATCATGCAAACTCCTTGAGGTGAGAGCAAGGGTCCAGCTGGCCAAGCCCCCCCCCCAACTTCATGTCATACAGATGTGCAGCACCTGCCATCCCCAACCGGCACCATCAACATTGCTGCTGATAGGGATTAGTGAGAGTAATTGGCTCTGTGTACATAGAGACCATAAGGCTGGGGGAGGTTGGCTTGTTTTATTTTGAGAGGGTTTCTAGTGGTCTCTTCCAGCTTTGCTAACAGAGCTACTTTGTACCTGGGCTCTTCTGAGTATAGACAAAACCTGTTGCAAATATGGAATGGTTGCTCTGAGTTTTAAAGTAGACTTTTGCAGAGATATGTGAGATTATTTTACAAGTGACATTCAATTTATATCTTGAAACCCTTCTACATTTAACTCATCCTATTCATGTTTATTTGAATAGTGGTCCCATTGAGTTCAATAGATCTTACATGTATGTAAAGAACAAAACTGCAGTTTTGGGCATACTTTTATTTAGATATCGAATGCATCACAATGTTACTTCAGTCTTATTTATTAGGACTAAGCTAATCAACTTATTTTCACAATGATAAATGTTCAGCTTGTTTCTTGTCCTCTGGGCAAATGATCAATTTGTAAACCTTTATACAAATTTTCTTCTACTTTAAAGGAAATGAAAACATGGATCATTGACAGTGAAGAACATTTATTATACAAAAGGTTTTCTAAGACCACACTAATATATTGCCTTTAGCCCTGCAACACAAAATTAACTTCCACTGATTTTAAGGGAGCTCACTCTCTAAAAAGTGTCCCTGGGTTTGTAACCATTACATCACAAAATAAGATTAGTTTCTTTAGTTTTATTTTTTAGATTTCTAATATAGTAGAATCAATGTTATATATTGGCCAGAGCATAATATAGACATAGCTTGTTTTGTTACATATGAACTCAAAATTTGACTGGAATGATGTAGATTCAAAAGTGCCTTGGCCAAAGAGTTCACCACCTCTGTCTCAAAAAAAGAGAAAGAAAACCTCTTGAATTATATCTATATTAAAAGCAAGGGGAATTCTTTTTTAAATTTCACAAATCTCTGTAGTAATGGGAGTGCTAGCAACCCACGGGGAACATAAGGGATAGTTTGCTTTTTTCCCACAAACAAGAACTATCTCTTGAGGTTTGTTTGCGTATTTCTCCAAAGCTTTGTCCAACTCTTGAAAGGATACTTTGTGTCCCATGTGATAGTTTTAATTGTTTGAAACTTGTTTAATTCCTTCTGCAGGAAACATTAATATGGGAGTAGAAATCCTCTCCTGAGCTTCACTAGGCTGGTTCCTTTTTGTAAAAATTCAGAATAATCCTGCTATAGCCTACTTAGATTTGTAAAAAAAGAAAAGGCATATTGTTGGGTATCGATTAGCATAATTTGAAACATTGCTAGAAGGACCAAGAAACTTTTTTTTGTGTAATAGAGATACTGGCAATGGAATTGAATTGTTTTGAAATCTATAAGAAGCGAACTTAAGGGTCCTTTTTCTTTTCTTTTTTCTTTTTCTATAATTTTTCATTTTCTTATTACTTTATTCTTCCTTATTTCAAAATTGGTACTGTTTTTAATTTGTTGAAAAACATCTCCAGTAATAATTACGTTAAAAAAAAAAAATCAGGCTATATCAATAGCAGTTCCAAACTTCATATTTTATGTCTCTTTCTCCTCCACCTTAACACATTGTGAGTTGATTATTTCTTTGTGGAAGGAGCAGTTGTCGTAAGAGACTTACCTGCTCTCAGATCTGCTGTCTCTAAGCCTCAACTGACAGTAGAGACTATATTGAACTAAACAAATCGTCTGACAGTATAAGGAGCCTCATATGGGTCATATATTTAAGAACTACCATTATCATCATGCGTAAATCAGTGTAACTTGCAGATCTTCCCCACTTCTTAGGATTAGACCTTCTTCCTGAGTGCCTTATTCTTGAGCACCAAAAGAAAATTAAATAAGTTAAAAAATGAGAAGAATCTTTTGAAGGAAATTGAAAAGAACAATGCAAGTAGAATTAAGAATCTGTAATAGATAGATAGATTTCTCAGAAGCAAGGAAATAGATAACCAAGAAAAAGCACTGATGATGTTACCTAGTTTCTGCAAGAAAACCACCAGGTTCAGACTCCACAACCAAGGATTTTAAAGCAAAGAAATGTGGTGGGTTTTTTTATTACATTTAATGGTTTGTCTCATCATATTTGTGGTAGGAATGTTGTGCCTGTCATAACTCAGGAAAATTTGGTTTAGATTAGAATGATTCCTGTAGGGAATAACATATTTAGCCTTCTGGGGCCAATATAATACTAGCTCCATTGCTGCTGTCTGAAGTGTGTGGCCAAAAATAGCTATGCAGGCTGAGCCAGACATTCTGTATTTGGCTAATAGTCTAGGCCAGTGGTGGCGAACCTATGGCACGGGTGCCAGAGGCGGCACTCAGAGCTCTCTCTGTGGGCACGCGCGCCGTTGCCCCAGTCCTAGGCCTTCAGCTGGGTTTTATAAAACCTTTTCACTTTAGGCCTCCGCCGTGTGCAAAAAAAAAAAAAAAGGTTGAATCAATCAGTCAATTTCAACTTCTCACGGGGGAAAAAAAAGATCTTGCAAAGTTGGAATTGATTGATTGAACTTTTTAGTCCCACCCAGTCTGCCGTTACCACGGCAGCCATGCCCACCCAATGGGCCACGCCCACCCAATGGGCCACACCCACTCGGCACCCGACGATGCATAAGTGGGTTTTGCGTTGCAGTTTGGGCACTCGGTCTCTAAAAGGTTCGCCATCACTGGTCTAGGCTCTGCCTTGGGCCTGTCTGCCCACCTGCCACGGTTCTAGTGTCCCATGTAGCTAACCTTTACATATTTCTGCCAACTTCATAGTAAATATAATACACTTTTTATTTATAAGCTGCAGAATTCTTTGGACCAAGAAAAGAAAACCCTTTATGTTTACAATATTTTGCTCAAGTTAATGAAATGGTAAAGTTGCTGGTTATCCTTATAACATTTTTGTCTTTTATTTCTGACATTTGTCCAGGTGGCTGGCTTTGTTCAGCGTCTGCCCGGTTGCAAAGAACAGGCCTCACTCTTCCGACAAGAGGTAAATTATCTTGTTTTAGGCTGATGGAGACTCATAAAATCTTCTTGCATGAGGAATGATCTCAAGAATTGTATTGAAGACTAAAAATTGTACCAAATTAACCCAGCTTTAGTTCCAGAGAAAGTTTGTTGTTTGCCTTCTGCAAACAAACTGGATCTACCTACTCTTTTATTCCTTTCGTAGTCATTGGCAAAAGTTGCCATGTAGAATAGGGTCAATGTCCAGTTGCTTTGAACAAACAGAAACTTGTATTGGCATCTAATACCTGTTGTACAAAGGATTTGCTTTGGCTTTCTAGAATACTCAATTGTTTTCAGTGGACAGTTTAATCTTGAATTGTATTTGAAAAGTGGGATAAAGTGATCTACTTTTGTAGAACAACCAACTTGTTTGTAAGATAGGTTCTGAAGCCAAGTCTTTACAAAGCCTAGTAAACAGAAGCTGGCATCTGGGATAACAGGATTGGAATAAACTAGAGCACAGAGCTACCTCTAATAGGCCTGTGACTGACAAACAGCAGTAGAAGTGTAATAGCAGTGTAATAATTTAAGCATTCTTTGCTTTGTTGCATAGGCTTGTAGTGGAGCATTGCAGAAAACATGTAACATTTCTAGCCAAGCATAGCTGTTGTCCAAGTAATATAGAAAAATTGAGAAGATAGGCATTTATGGGATAAGCAGCTATAATAACAAATCAAATGCTATTAGTACAAAGCTGGACTTAATCTGCAAAATATTTGGAATTGAACCCATAGGGGGACTCAGACATAAATTAATAAAAGTAGGGAAGAGTTTATAAGAAGGAAACAGGTATGTGTATGTAGAACCAGATCCTGAACATCAGGCTTCACAAAGCAAAAATATGGTTTATAGGACACACCTCATTCTACACCTTATATGAAGTAGATGCAGTTCTCATCAGCCTATTAAAAATGTTGGACTGAAATGAAATCTATTTTAAGAAAGAGAATTGGCTTGGACTAAGATGTAAATGACAGAACTGCTGAACTCTGCTATAATAGCCCATTAGAAGCAATTGAGCTGCCCAGGCATATTATCTTTAAATAAATAACTTTAGGCACCGCAGGTAGTGGTGCTTTCAGTTTAATTTTTATTTTTATTTCCTAAATGACAACAGTGGAAGGAAAAACAATTTGTGAAAATGATAAAAGGAATCCAAAGGGATTGGACAAAATTGCTAGTGAGGTCTAGTTAGAGAATGAGGTTTATATATAAAGTCATATTCTGAAATAGTGTCTCTAAATAGCAGGGCTTGATAGTCAGGTTAAAAAGAAATTGAAAGGTGAACTTTCTACAATATTAGCTCTGCATGATTGGAATTTGGGGACCTATGTAGTATAATAGGAATATACATAAAAGGAGGTGTCTGGCAGAGAGACAAAGAGAGCTTTAGTGAAGAGGTCACAATCCCCACATTGCTCTTACTTTTCAAAAGCTTCAGCCCTTCTAGAACTTGAGGTCTGAAGCAAAATATGTAAACATCTGTTACATACTGTAAGAATGAATTGGTTCCCTTCTTTCTGTGTTTGCAACCAATGCTATAGCAACTGGGAGAACTACAGTCTAGGCAAAAGTTAGGGTGATGGAGTGTGTGTTGGGATATGTGTTACAGATGGTCCTCAACTTACGACTACAATTGAGCCCCAAACGTCTGTTGTTAAGCAAGATTTAAGCTCAAGATGTCCAGACCTTTCCAGTTTACTCCTGGGAACAATAGAAGTGCTCTGCAAATATTGAGACTGTGAATTGCTGATTTGACAGATTGGTGCCTGGACCGTATTTGCTGCACAGTCCTTTTATTAAAAAAATCATACCCTTGAGGCTTATGTGCTCTTTGTACATCTGGTTTCTTTCCTCCCCTCTCCAGTTCTATTATAAAAGTAGTCCTCGTCTTACAGCACTTCATTTAATGACCATTCAAAGTTACAATGGTACTGAGAAAATGACTTATGATGGTTTTTCACACTTATAACAATTGCAGCATCCACATCATCAGAATTCAGACACTTGGCAACTGACTCATATTTATGACAGCTGCACACCTTTTGCCACCTTCTGACAAGCAAAGTCATGGGGAAGCCAGATTCACTTAACAACCGTGTTACTAACTTAACTGCAGCGATTCCCTTAACAATTGTGGCAAGAAAGGTCATAAAATGGAGCAAAAGTCACTTAACAAATACCCCACTTAGCAGCAGAAATTTTGGGCTCAATTGTGGTTGTATGTCGAGGATTACCTGCAATTAGAAGTGGGTGGGTATCGTGTGGATATATGGGACTTTATTGGCACTCATGATGACTGATGCATACCATTTAAACATACTGGCCTTCCACATTATTGCCCTCAAAACCCCAAGAATCACATCTTGCTATGCAATTCCATTCAAAAAAGTTCTGGGGAATTGTACCCTTTACAATGTTTAGAAAGAAGAAGTAAGAACTTAAAGTAGTTTTTGAAAAGATAATGTAAATGCAGAAATTCCAGTCATAAGTGTGAAAAATGGCCATAAGCCACTCTTTTCAGTGCAGTTGTAACTTTGAACTAAATGAATGCTTGTAACCAGTGGTGGGGTTCAAATATGTGAACAACCGGTTCTCTGTGTGGATGCCGCTTCCGGAAGTCCATTCTGGGCTCAGGCAACAAAAAATTAGCTATCGGTTCTGCCAAAGTGGTACGAACTGGCTGAATACCACCACTGGATGTAACTCATGGACTACCTATATACTGTTTTATGGAATCAGCTTTATTTAGCTGGCTCCTGTTTTTTAACATGCATTAGAATCAGAGCTTTGCAAAGATTTGATCTGTTTACATCAGACATGTCAAACACAAGGTCCGGGGGCCAGATGCGGCCCGCGAAGTAGTTTCATGTGGCCCACGAAGCCATCCTGGAAACAGTGAGGGAACGGCCCCCGCTGCCTTGGCCCTGGCCCAGCCGGGAGCCAATGTACAATTTTGCGGTGGCCATCTATGCTGAAACGCATTCAGTCTTAGCTCCACAAGGCCATCTAGAAACAGCGAGGAACCAGCCCCTGCTGTGTCGGCCCCGCCCCCTGGGTGCATGCCGGGGAGGTGTCACCCTTTGTGAGGAATGAAGAAATGGCACTTGCCCTGGTCCCACCCCCTTCTGCCAGAGACCCTCAGATCTGTCCCATTCCTGCCCAGGCCCCCACAGGCACCCTTGACGCGAATGATGTAAAGCTGGCCATGCCCACCGAGTAGGCCACATCCACTCCATCCATGCCCACCCAGTAGGCTGCACCCACCCTGGCCGCACTCACCCGGCCCCCTGAGGGCAACCGCAATGTTGATGCGGCCCTCAATGAAATTGAGTTTGACACCCCTGGTTTACATCCATTTGCAGAATCCATTATTTTGGGTGTTTTAAGTTTGCGATCTTAAGCGTATTATTTAGCTTTATGAAATGCTGTTCTTTAATGAAAAGGGATTGTAATGCTGAGTGTTATTTTTGTTTGATTTGTTTGATATTCTGTATCTAAGCTGAAAAGCATATTGCAATATACAGATGGGAGGCTTTTGTTAGCTACTTAAAATATGTTTTTAGTTGGACCTGCTTAAAAAATTCAGTCACACACTATCAGTTTTAAATTTCCCAGTTTTGGTGCTATAATTACCAAGAAGTATGGTAAGCAAAGGATCTGAAGGCAGTTTCTTCATTCTAGTTTCTCTGCTTTGTCCATATGGATACCAGATTTGCACATTTGTACATAGTACTACAAAGTTTAGGTTTTTAGTTAGAAAACCTGCCCATTTTGTATCAAGCATTGCAACAGGCCAACATACATACATACATACATACATACATACATACATACATACATATATGTTTTTCAGACAAACGGTCTGATTGATTGCACCTTTGGCATTTTGACTGCTATACTGCAGTTCTACTTTTTATAATCTCTTTTGCCTTGCAGCCCCCCAATTAGGGGTGTTAAGCAGGCTCAAGTCGCTACTGCGATACATTACAAATTCAGATTTCTTTTTGCTGACAAGAGTTAAAGATTTAAGTGGGAGACTAGTATAGCTATTTCGGACTCATTTGTCCTCATCAGCTAGCCACACCCCTTTATGGGATTTGAACCTGGGCAGTCTACATGCTAGGCAGTTGTATTAACCACCAGGCCACAAGCTCTCCTCCCCTCTTTGTCAGCCGAGTCAAGGGACTATATACAGAAAGTTTTTCAGACAAACGGTCTGATTGATTGCAGGTGAAAAGAAATAGCTATACTAGTCTCCCACTTAAATCTTTAACTCTTATCAGCAAAAAGAAATCTGAATTTGTAATGTATCGCAGTAGC